TTCTTCCAGCCACCCAAATTTTTAATTACTTGTGCTAGGCCCTGTGGTAGGTTTCTTAAATATAATTGCAGTTTTAAAAGAACTTTTACAGCCCTGGCCAGTTTGGCTCAGCGGTTAGAGCGTCGGCCTGCGGTCCTGAGAGACCCGGTTCGGTTCCCGCTAAGGGCATGCACCTCGGTTGCAGTTTGTCCCCGGCCCTGGTCGGTTGTGCGGGTGGCAGCCACTCGATGTGTACCTTTCATGTCGATGTTTCTCTCTCTCTCTCTCTCTCTCTCTTCCTCTCTCTCCCTCCCACTCTACCTGAACAAAAAATGGAAAAATGTCCTCTGGTGAGGATAAAAAAAAAAAAAGAACTTTTACAAATATGCTCACAAAGTATAAATGTACCAATAATTAACTTTCCAGAATAGGTTGAAAATTAAAACTGGGAGCATTGTGCAAATCCCTTAACCTCTATATTAAACTTCTTTTTTTTTTTTTTTTTTATCCTCACCCGAGGATATTTTTCCATTTTTTGTACAGACAGAGTGGGAGGGAGAGAGAGGAAGAGAGAGAGAGGGAAACATCGACGTGAAGGGACACATTGAGTGGCTGCCACCCGCACAACCAACCAGGGCCGGGGACAAACTGCAACCGAGGTACATGCCCTTAGCGGGAACCGAACCCGGGTCTCTCCGGACCGCAGGCCGATGCTCTAACCGCTGAGCCAAACTGGCCAGGGCTATCTTAAACTTCTTAGAAGCAAAAGAAAGGATCAAGATTGAGATTCAAACTGCTGTGGGCAGCGAGATGGCCCCAGGGGCTAGAACTGTGAGGTCAGACTGGACCTGGGTTCAGCAACCTCAGTACTTGAGTCCTGTCTAGGAAAGAATTCACAGCCAAGACTCAAACGATAAGAGAACATTTATTTGGAAAATCACAGAAGTAGAAGAAATGCACTTAGGAAACAAGTTATAGAGGCAAAGAAAGGGCCCTTGGAGCTTAGAAGTGAGGAAGGTACAGGTGGTGACTGGCGGGGGGAGGGGAGAGGGAAGGGCGCTGGTGTGCTCCGGGGAGGGACGGCTCGCCCTGGGTCCTCCATCCTCAAGGTCTGATGCAGGGGTGGGAACCTTTTTTCTGCCAAGGGCCATTTCCTGCATTTGCCAACTAATATCCTGCAGTGTTATCAGTGAACCAAAAATAAAAACCTAGATTATTCCTGCCAATTAGCCTGACTGCCATTTTAGCTTTAAATAAAATGTACTCTTAATATGCAATAACTTTTTAATTCTCACCAGAGGACCTCTTTTTTTTTTTTTCATTTATCTTCAGATAGAGCAGGAGGAAGAGAGGGGGGAAGAGAGAGAGAGAAACATGGATGTGAGAGACACATTGAGTGTTGCCACCCACACAACCCTAATCGGGGCCAGGGACAAACTGCAACCGAGGTACGTGCCCTCAGCGGGACCAAAACCTGGGACTCTCATATCAACCTATGAGGTAATTATTATATCTGACAGGAAGGGAATTCTGGATTACATTTATAGAAAAAATAAACTAGCCCGTCACAGAGCTAGTTAAGAGGCAGGGCTAGGACTCTATTTCCTGCCTCAAGATTGTCTTTCTAAGCTTCCCAAAGTTCCTCGGTGGCCCTTTTATAACCTGTGCTTTCATGGGAAAGTTAGTTCTGACTGAATTACCTAGTCCTTGAACAGAAATTTCAGTCCTGTCAAAAGCCACTATTCCTTCACTGCACTTTAAGCATGATCCATGGCGGGCTCTGTTCTGACTAGTTTGTGTAAACCGGTGAACAGTACAAAGGTTCGGCCTTTGTGGAGCTTCCAAATCGGTGAGGTGGACAATAAACTTCAGATGTTAGAAGGTGACCAGGGGTAAGCAAAAAGGACAAAGCACAGCAAGCTAGGAGTGAGCTGGGGAGCTGGGGGTGGGGGAGGATGTTGAAATATTTAAACGGGCACTCAGGGTGGGCTTGAAAGGACAGCTGAGCCCACTGAAGGAGGTAGGAAGTTAGCCAATGTTAGCACCTGAAATATGCTTGTTGTTACATCCAAAGTCACCGGATCTTGAGTAAACACACTGCTGTGTTGAAAATAGAACTGTCCAGACATGTGGGATACACAATAGGAGAATGTCTTAGGTCTTTTGTTAGCCACTCTTGAAATCTACGCACACCTGCACAATGGCATGCTGAAATGTCATTTCACTACCTCCTAGTACTTCAAACTTTGTAAAGAATCTGATTGTATGGATTTACAAAATACCAAAGTGCCCATCCATAACTACAAAAGACAAAAACATTTTTCAACGGTCCTGTAATTCAAAAGGGCAATTAGTGGGACATGAGCACAGTCTCTTGGAGCTTTTGATACAGGGTCTCTAATGTGTGCGTTTTGTTTTGGGTTTATTTTTTAAGCATATATGAAAATAGCCCAGGAAAACAAGCTCTGTTGTAGCCCTGAGTCATCCATGTGATAATGCGCCACAGGCGGAGGTGACCAACTGCAGCCCTAGCTCTGACAGGCAGGCAAACAAAGCGTGGGTGGGGAGCTGGGCAGCAGGCAAGCCCTCTCACGGACAGCAGGGACGCCAAACTACTGCGGGACAAAATGGGCCAGTTCCCGAAAATAAGTGGTGGCTTTATGCAGCAAAAACGAAACAAAAACATAAAGATGAAAGCTTGGAACTTGTTCAAATCCCTGAGTAAAATTATATCTGAAAGAAAACACAGCTAGGACTAGTGGATTACAAGTCTTTTATCGAGTAAAAACTGGCTGAAACCAACTTGTCAACTAGCTTATTTTCCAGAAATGACTGCGTTTATTTTAATAGGTGCCTGGTGCTGTGTCCCTGGGCAAGTGTACAGCATGCCCCAGCCCACACACAGAACTCAAGATTATATCATTCCTATTATATATTTGGTGTGTAATGACACAAATACACAAATTATGAGCTTACTAAATGTAGCATTTCCACAGCAACTGGCACAGTGACATTGTAACCTAGGGGCACTGTAGCAGACAGTGTCTGTCCCATGCTGGGAGCACCTGTCTGCCGTTACCACTATTCCTTCCTTAACCACCATGAGTTTTGTTCTTTGGCAATCTTGACCTCTGATTTAACAATGCAGTCTATAATCTTTCTGAAATGAACAGCTTTAAATGAGGACAATTCTGTTGGGGGGCAGGGGGCAAACTCTGCTATTGAAATAGCATTTTTTTCTGGTTTCCACCCACACAGGGTTAACAGCCATACTGGGCAGGATGCATCTGGTGAGCACTGGCATTCTCTCCCTCCCTCCCTCAACAGTGGGAATAAGCTTCCATGTTATACCAAATATAAGGAGAGTGATCACATATTTCTGTCCATCGGGGAACCTGGAACAGTGAAATAAGGAAGCATAAACAAACCAATCAGGGCAATAGGCATAAATCAAGATGCTCCTTGGCAAACCTAGATGTATGTTCACCCTACAGAGACATGAGATCTATCAAAATATATGGTACTAGCTGAGGACTCATCTCTGACATTGTCATCCTGATTCCAAGTAGAGAAAGGGACTATGAACACATTATTCACGCTTGAGACCCAGAAAGAAGTATCAGGATGTCAATCACCCTTATATGGGACATGGGACATAGATTAGTGAGAAGACATTTCCTAAACTGATTTTACCCTGACATTTGACTCACAATAGCCAGAGGGCACCAGGAAGGTTTAAAGCTTGAGCTAGGAGTGGCTCTGCGATACTCTCTTCCGGAAAGAGCATCATGTCCGAGCCCTGAAACATCCAGTCTGTAGCTAAGTTATTTGAACTTTATGGATTTATAAAATGAGGGGGCTGATCTAACATGGTTGTCATGTCCCATCCAAGGTCAAATTTCCTCCAAAAGAAAGACCTAGAGACCTGTCAGACCGAAATAAGGAAAGCCACCTCGGGAGACTCAGGCTCCACATTCGAAGTGCCACTCGGGCTAGTGGTGGCACTCCAGGGCCCGCTCCCCACTTACAGGACGGGTCTGCCAAGCTTGTTTTATTTTAAACACCCATCCCATCTCATTCCTGGGCAGTGACCAAGTCTAGTAGCTGTAAAATGTAATTCATGTCTTAATTAAAGTATTAGCTTCCATTTGGCTTTATCAGAAACACCTCAATATTTTTAAAACTGTCCATAGTGACAGGTGTCCATTTCCAGTGCTATGCTGTCAAAATTCCTTGAGCTTTTACTTGTCTTCATGTGGTGCTGAAATGGGCTTGGACTTCCTTCCCTCTCATCCTGACAACTCTGTCAGTACACCAGGCATGGTTTGGCTGGCTGGAGTCCTGCCACGGGTCTTTTATAACCACCCAGAGCTCTGCTGGAGGTACACACCACTGGAGGATATAAACGCAAAATTAGGTCAGAGACAGGTTTTCAAGTTCTTTAAGAAAGCAGTTTCCACTAATCTGTTTTTCAGTCTCATAACTTGTATCCCAACTGCCCACAAACATGTTGGTCCCTGTGAACCAGATGGTCAGAAGACACCAAGCTGGTGCAACCCCAGGAGCCTTACCTAGGTACCTTTTCTACGCGGAGAAAGTACGTTTGGTGGGGACTCAGCAAAACCAGGTATAGAGAGCAACGCCTCTCCAACTTCGGTGTGCAGCAGAACGAGATGAAAAGTGCAGGCGCCTACGCTGAGATTCTGAGTGGGCGAAATCTGGGCCATCTGCACATTTAATAAGCACATCCCCGATTCCACCCCCTATATTCTGATGTAGGCGGTCTTCCCCCGTCAGCTTAGAAAATCACATCTAACAGTGACAAAGCATTTCCCTGCAGGGGCGATCACGCACACATCTCCACCACACCCACTGTCCCACCTCCACATTCACCTTTGGAAGACAACTGCTCAGTTCACACACATTTGACCACAGGTGAGCAAACACTAACAGCCACCCCAGTCAAAATGCTCAGCTCAGAGACTCCACCTGCCATCCATTCTAATCCACACTAAATAAAGGCAAGTTACGAACTCAGTGGGTTTTTAAGTACACAATTACTTTATTTCCTTTGCCTGACAGCGTCAATTTCATGACACAAGAACCTGCAGCTGACAGAATCGACACACAAATCCCCCCATCGGGGGACGGACCCTTTTCATTAGCAGAGATGAACTGAAATGTCATGTCTGAGTGAAACTCCTGCTCTCCCCCCGCCACCCATAACAACCCCGAAAGTGAAAATAATCAGAATCAACAGAATCCCCACGAATTACTAAAAGTCATCGCCTCAAACTTCTCTACTAGCAGCTGCAGTAAATGAAGACCCCAGGAGGGAAGCAGCTGGCCATCACTTAGCGTTTCTGTGCGTGAGACGGAAGGGACAGCAGGGAGGGAGGACGTCGCTGAGCCTGTGACTGGACACAGCTGAGGCCAAGGGAGGTGTGGGATAAGGGACACCAGAGAGAGAGCAGGTTAGGCAGAGATGTTCAATACTTCAATTCCAGTTAATGCTATCAAAACCATCTTCATCATCAGTGTCCTTCATGCCTGGCCCCCACTTTCCAGAAGTAAGAGAGCTCCATCTAAATTTCTGTCTGACATCTGTCACCACTGAGGTGGTGCTGTGATGTCTGTGTGAGATTATGACTGGGTGTGAGAGAGGGTGGGGAGAGGGGGAGTTGTGAAGACAGGAGAGATGGGGCACAATGTTTTAATGACAAGGTATCTCTTTTGGTCCCCAGGAATGGTCCACTACCAGTACTCCTAAAACATTCCTACCCCCTCCCTGCAACTGCCTTGTGCAAATGTCCAAGAGGATTTCTGCCCAGAGATGGGCGAGCTGGAAGTCGATGCTGGTCCACAATCATCTCTGGTCCCAACTTGCCCACTTCCTAACTCTTCTATGACAAAAAAAAAAAAAAAAAAAAATCACGCAAAAATTAATTCACACCGATGCTGTGAAACAATATCATCTCCATTCCTCGAGCAAAGCTAATCCATCAGCTCTGTCCTGACGTGCTTTCTCCCTGGGCCGAGGAAGCAGCAAAAAACATCAATTGAGCAGGTGAAACTATGATGACGGTGTATGCGGTGCAGTGTTTCCAGAGGTCTTGGCCTTCTGTCTCCTCCATGTGGGAGCCCCGCCTTCTCGTCCCCCGTCCCACACACCCCCCACCCCCGAGTCCAGGTGCTCCCGTCTGCGGGCCTCCACCACTCACTTCCCATACACACTCTCATCACTGTAGGCCACGTACAGGAAGTAGTCTTCCTCATGGTTGTCCTAGGGGAAGAGATAGGGCAGGTGAGAAAACACAATCCCATTCGTCGTCTCCAGGACTCGGGGCCTCACATAACCTTGTGAAGTAAGCACGGAAGGTATCATAGACCCCATTGAAAGAAGGAACAATGAACATGCAGAATTGGTTGGAATTCAACTCTGAGTTCAAAAATAACGTTCATGGAGACTATCATACACATAGATATCAGGGGTGACACATGACTGGGGCGCGGTCCTTACCTCAGCGAGCTCATTCTGGGCAAGGGGGACACGGATACAACCAAACATGCATATTGAAATGTATGCTAACAGGGAATGCATGCTATGGAGTAACAATCAGATTAGAAGTGTAATTAACTACCTCACGGGGCACAAGAAGGCAGCACAACTTGTGAGAAATCCCTTCAGGAATATCAGTCACACTCTTAGATGACATAGCAAAATAAAGTCCTTTACTAGAGTTTTTTCCTATTAGATTCAGACAGTTTACCAATTAAACCAAATGAAATCACATAAATTATTCTCTCCAGCTGAGTTTAGCTGTTAAGACAATTTAAAGATTTTGCCTTCATTATAAAGTTCAGTGTGCCTGAAATGTTCACAACCAGAAGCCCTTTCCTGCGGTTTCAATAAAGATAAGCCTGTGTTAAAACACTCCCGCAAGGCAAGACTGCAACAAGAACTCAAAGGGACTCAGTCTAGTCGCTGCTCCGTCCCTAAAGGACAAGTGGGATCTAATCTCCCAGCGCCTCGCACTGCCCTGGGTAACAGGATCCTGACAGACAACACCTCTTGTTCCACTTCCCAGGCCTGCTGTGAAAACCCACGGGAACAAAAGCCGGACACCAGACCTGCCGGTGTTGTTGTGACTAGACCATTACCTCATACAGCTGGCCCATGGTAGCGCTCGTGGGAGGGATAGTGTTGTTGACAAAGAAGAATAAGGCGTCCTCAGGTCGCAGGTGGATCCTCTTCCGGATTAAGAAGTAGAACTGGCCAACTGGAGGAAGGGAGGTTTTAGAAAAGAAAGGCAAGAGGGGAGAACACAAGGGATTGGGAAAAGGGTAAGGCTCAGAAAAACATTCTGCTACACCTGTTCCCCTTCAAGTACCACCGTTACACACACCAGCTGAATAGAGCCCAGTACTGTCTTAGAGCTGAAGAAATAAAGTGAAACTCAGAGAAGCCTCGTATTCCCTACCATGCCACTGAGTTTATTCCTCAGAAAACAGGAGCTTCCCATCCTTCCTCAGTTTCAGACCCAAGGCTAGCGTATCCTCTCGAGGCCTGAGGACGACTTCGAGGGAACACCAGGTATATCCAGACTGAACACTCCCATCACTGTGTAAATCTAATGTGAGACACACTTCCATCCTCAGACAGACTGGTCATGGGAAGAGTCTTCTGACTCCAGTACCCTTGGCGCCACCACAACCCACGCCGGGACAGTGAGTGGAGTTCATCGCTTCCCCTTTCACTGAGCACACTGGAGAAATCCTAGAAGGCGGATATTTAAATCTAGTAACTCTGGAGCAAACACATCTACAAAATCTTCCCAGTGTCTCCTGGATGCAGTGATTATTCCACTAAGGATCAAGGTGAAGATGAATATATCCTCTGCAATTCCAAAGAGTATCTGTAAAACCTTATTAACAAAAAATGCAGCGTGAGGAGACAAGGCATTCATTTGATAATCTCTAAAATGTGATCCTCGTAAGAAATGAGTCTCATTTTCATTTTGGAATAAATTGACATCACAGTAACAAAGCTGATTTTAAGTGGTTTAAATAATGGACATCTAATCTCTTTCAATGTTTTGTACTTTGCTGTGTCTAAATCAAAGGAGGCACTATGGTGGAAAATGCTTAGGACTGGTGATGGGCAACAATTATGTCACCATTTTTTAATCACCTAACTCTGGAGAATCCCACTCGCTTTCTTCAACCCACTTCCTCAGTCTCACAGTCTCACGCACGCAGGAAGGACTGGGAATGCTTGGCCACGGGAGGAAGGCTCAAGGAAGGGAAGAGCATTACCAGTGAGGTCAGAGGGCACTAGATACTTCCTCTTGTCCAGGTCAGGCACCCTGGCCTTAGGAGCCTTCTCCACGATCACCTGGGAGGAGAGGCAGAGAGTGGGGAATGAAAAATGACAGAACTCAAGCTGATATTTTCCCTTCCACATCCTACAGCTGCTCCATTTGAAGTGAGCTTGACTAATCCCTTTAACATTTTTCCATTTCTTATTTTCCTTTGCCCCTCACAAATGTACAGGGAAATGGGCTTTCTTAGAAAGGTTGTAGTTTGCCCTGGCCAGTTTGGCTCAGCGGTTAGAGCATCGGCCTGCGGTCCGGAGAGACCCGGGTTCGGTTCCCGCTAAGGGCATGTACCTCGGTTGCAGTTTGTCCCCGGCCCTGGTTGGTCGTGCGGGTGGCAGCCACTCGATGTGTCCCTTTCACGTCGATGTTTCTCTCTCTCTCTTCCTCTCTCTCCCCCCCACTCTATCTGTACAAAAAAATAGAAAAATGTCCTCGGGTGAGGATAAAAAAAAAAAAAAAAGCAAGGTTGTAGTTTTATTACTGCAATAACAACAGGATGGAGAGCACATGTGAAGAAATGTAAAAAGAACCTTGATTTTAAGTAATTACAAGTAACCTTTAAGGTACACTATAGGTTATATGCTTTTTCGTATTTAATTAGAGCATTAAGATTGTCTGGGTTTTCTCAGATGGTCCAGAGTACTATTAGTATGCTTTCTTATAAATGCCATTTATTAAAGCTATAGATAACATGGTTTAAGTTTTATACTTTGTCAAATTCTTTAAAATAACCACATAAAAATGTTCAAGACACTATAAAGTAAAAAAAGTAAGTAGTAAAATAGTTCTTACAGTGTGATATTCTGTAACATGATCTCAGTACAATAACCCATTTATCAATATTGATGTTAGAATTTCAATGTCTATAAATATTTCTATACTTGAAGGTTTAGAAAGATCATACATTTTTATAATAAAAAATAAAACTGTAAAAATTAAAGACTTTTTATGCGTGTAAATTTATAAAGTAGATTTATATTTAAAATTTTAAATATTTAAAAATTAAAAATTTAAAATTTTTAAATATTAAATTTAAATTATATATTATAAAATATATTTAGTATTTATAGATTTATAAATCATGTATTACATATTTAAATTTTAAACATTTAAAATCTATTATAAAAACATGAGCTTTAGACTTTTAGTTTAGAAAATATCATCATCCTAGAAAGAGCATATGGGAAGTACAGGAAAATAAAAGCAGCAGAAATAAATACTGAACAAATATCCCTGGTAGCTGTTTGATCTTCAACAGGTTACTTAACCTCTCTGAGCTTCAGCATTCCAATGAGTAAAAGGAAGAGAATAACTTTCCAACATTTTTACAAAGTTATGGTACTGATATGATGAACGTGAGTAATCCATACATTTTTTGTGAAAATGCTTTGTAAATTATACAGAAGTATCTAAACATAAGGATTTGATTGGGGGGGGGGTGTCTGAAGCTTCTAAATTTAAGAAGACCAATTAAAATAGTGAAAAACTTATTTTATGTATGCAGAAAAAAGAATCCTATACCAGTAAGATCAAAGGAGCATGATAACACTTAAAATTCAAATAAAGCCCTGGCCGCTTTGGCTCAGTGGTTAGAGCGTTGGCCCAAGCACCAAAGGGTCATGGGTTTGATTTCCAGTCAAGGGCATGTACCTGGGTTGCAGGTTCAATCCCTGGCCCCGCTTGGGGCACACACAGAAGGCAACCAATGGATGTGTCTCTCTCACATCAATGTTTCTTTCTCTCTCTCTCTCCCCCCTCCTCCCTCCCTCCCTTCCACTCTCTCTAAAAAAAAAAATCAATGGAAAAAAAATACTAAAAAAATTTACCTAAATAAATAAATGCATTCAAAATAAAAACTGAATAAGTAATATGTGAATCAGAAATTAAAAAGAAAAAGTAGGACAAGCTTCAGGGAAACACCAATGAAGGCCCAACAATGAGGGACGGGAGACCACATGTTAATAAAATCAAAGGGTGAAAAGGCGCATAGCACTGTGTCTGGCAGGTACTCTGAAACCTGGCAGCTCCAACTCTGATCAATAAGAAAAGGGAACCACAAGAAGGGAGCAAAAAAGAGCAATAAAGCCATCTGCAAAGAAAACTTCCCTGGGATGGTGGGGTGGGGGTGGTGTAAGGATTTGGAGAGGAAAAGGAAAGGGAGGGGTACACTACTGGTTTACCAGAAACTATTTAGGTATCCAAGACTCCCAACTGGACTGTACTCGCTTACAGTGGGCCCTGGGCCAGAGGCTTTGCCTGTTTGGTTCTGTTTTCTCATCTGTGAAATGAAATGTAGCTAATACTCCCTGGGGCTATTCATGAATTAAAAAAAATAACCTGTGCCCAACAGTTTCCTGCAATGTGGCAGGTTTTCAATACACTATAGCTATTAAGATCATTTCAAGAACCCCCGAAACCCTCCTCTCCCAGCACAAGCACACCTATTCAGGTGTGGCAGCTCCCGAGCTCTGTTGGGGCTAAGCTTGAGTTCTGTGAGCAGTCAGGGTACATGGCTGCTTTAACAACACAAATGGTCCAGATGGAAAGGACTTGGGAAATCATTTACTCGAACCCTCTTTTCTGTATACAGGACACTTGGGCAAGATTAAGGGTTCTGCCCCAAACTGGAATCAAATCTCAGAACTCAGCAGAGTTCTTCCTGCGTCACAACTAGAAAGAAGGTCACAGCCTAAGTATCTAAGGAGCAGCTGGGAGGCATATCACTGGTTAAAACATAACTGGAGGGACCACAGGGTTGAGTGATGGTCCTAATAGTTTACAAATTATACAATTTTGTAAAACATTTAATGCCAAACTGAGCAGGAAGAGAATAGGGAGAATTAGCTGAAACATTCTGGATGAATGCATGTAAATGGAAATCCAATGGGCTCGATTTTAAGAAAACAGGAATTTTAACTAGATTAGGAACCAGTACATTTCAGTTTATAATTTACGTACAGCTACTACAACAGACCTTCTTATGACTCTGTGTACTCTGGATAGAAGCAAGTTTCTCTATTTTCAATACCTAATGGTGTGAGGTATACAGTGCACACTTAACTCTAATAGGACTGAATTAGAAATTGAGAAATGTTATAGCATGAAGGGCCTAATAGCAGGGCTGCAATCCAAGGTCAGCCACACACCAGCCCCGTGAAACCTTTAGGAAGTTGCTTCATTTCTCCGTGCTGCAGAGGCTTCATCCTAGAGTGGGGATTATAATGGTGTGAGGATGACTACTGACAGAATGAGGACAGACGGCGCACTCAGAATATGCTCAGGTACATGATAAACCATCAATAAAAGTTAACTGTCACTTTTAAATGTTATTATACAAATAACATTTATATATAATAATAGAGCTTGGTCTATCACCGGAATTGGGAGAAACTTTTGAAGTAATCATCCAAGGTCCAGAGACCAGCAAAGTAATTAGTGAAGGATCATTTTTGTGTGCAATTTCCAGAGAATGGAACAGCCCTCATGTCTCCTCTTCCTTATGGGAAAAGGACTGCTCCTGGTTTCCAACGATGGCCTAAAGCCCAGGTTGCCCTGGTAGCTGTGAGACCATGACACTTAAAGATTGGAGAGGAGGCCCAAGTGTACCTGAGGGTTGAGAAAGGGCATCAGATCATCGCAATTCCACTACCTGTAAATTATATGCAACATTTACCTTAATGCCCTTGCCTGACGATAAAGAGTACAATCTAAAGTCTCTGCTCCTTCATCTCCAAAATCCAACGGTTGTTGTTCCCTCTAACACAATTGAAAGTCGTCTGCTTTCCAATCCGGCTGTACAGCCCACAGGAGAAAAAAAAAACCAGGCAAGTGGCGGGGGAGGGGTGATGGGAAAAACGCCCGGATGCAGAAAGATACCCTCTCTGTTCCTCCTCAATGACTGCGAGGTTTATTACATTAGCCGGGGTCCAAAAAACAAAACGAGAGCAAAACGCCGCAGGCCTTCCTGATGGTGTCTAATCACAATCTGATCAGAATAAGTAGCGGAAGAAGGCTGGCTGACCTAACATGCCCAGGGAGCCAAGAATGAGGCAACCCCGCCGTGGCGCAGAGAACGTGACCCTGTTTTCTGGGCCAGGCCTGTCTGGTGGGCACTCCCCCAGCTCCAATCTTAACATAATACTAATAATAATAATAAAAGACCCATTGGCTTCCGAACCTTTGCCTCCCAGCCCAATGCTATGAGAGCCAAAGTTAACTTGATTAAGGGAGAACCAGCTAAGGCATACATCTATGGGAGCAAACCACAGATTATTCCCAAAACAAGCTCCCTGCGATCTTAAGCAAACGTGCAGTCCCGACCTAACCGTGCTCGACCCCAGGGCCACATTGTGAGCACCTCCCACCCCACACGGCCTCCGAATGCTGCTGAGTCATTCCAACGGCGGCTGCGCTCCACGCAGGCGGTGGGCTGGGAAGACGTGCTCGGGCCCAGGGGCCCAGGGGCTCTGGGGGTCTGGGGGTCTGGGTTTTAAAAGAGTCGCAGTCAGGACGCCCATTCCACCGGCTCTCCTCGCAGTGAAAGGCGCTCAGGGTTAAGTAATTTTAGAGACCAGCCTTCTTCGGTGCCTTAGGGCAGCCATCACGACGCCCCCGCTTTCCCATATTCCCTCTCCCTCCCCCTCCCCCTTCCTCTCCCCTGAAACTCACAGGGACCCTGTCCGGATATTTCTTCCGGATCTTTTCTCCTTCCTTTTTCCGATACTCAAAGGGATGGTCTTCCTTATACTGGAACTTCATGATGAACCGCAGGGTTTCCGAGATCCCCGGCCGGGGCCTGCCTCTCTCGCCGAGGACTGCGGCTCCCTCGTCTTGCTTCCCCTCCTCCTAGCTTCCAGCTGTCTCCGAACCGCTCGGGAAATGGCAGCTCCCGTCGCGACGCCGCCTGGCCGAGCTGCGGGAGGGCTGTCGGTGCTCTGCCGGCACGTTGCGGATGGGCCAGGTGAAGAACTCCCGGCGGCTTTTCCCGAGCGCTGGGGACACGTAAACAACACGGCGGCGCGTCGGCATTGTGACGTCACGGCGCCCCGCCCCCGCGTTCCGGAGCGCGCGGCTCGGGGGTGCACCGACACTTGGTGGGTTTCAGCGTGTTCTCCTCCTGCCTAACCTTTCCCCCAGTAGAGTTCGCCGCAAACTTAAACGGCTTTCACTCCCTGTCTTATGGAGAATGTGGCACTAAACACCGTTTTAAAACAAAAAGAAAAGTGTTCTGCAGATGTTTTCTGCCCTCTTCCTCGCTGTTTCTTGGTTGGGCCCGAAAACAAACACACTGGGAGAAAATCCAGCTTTTTCCAGCAGCCTGGGATCTGGAATCCGGTGGAAGAAGGGAGGAGGGTCCGGGGGTTTCTTTGGCCGCTGCAGAGAAGCCCGGTGCTTGCATTTTGCCCTTTGTTCTTTCAACTGCAGCCGCCGGGCACCTCGGGGTGTAGGCTGGCTCCTTCGACCGTGAACCCTCCTTCACCACGTTGGCGTCATTCTGTTTGGGTCCGTACCGTACCGCAGTTTGTTCCTAGAGCAGGAACATAAACAAAACGTGACTCAGGAATTTGAAGACGTATTAGGTGAAGGGCATCAGGTATAGTCAAGGTCCAGAGAAGCGGTGTCAGACAGGACTCCTAAGGGCTCCAGGCATGTTCAAATACAGCAATGATTCACTTTTTCCTGTTAACTCAGGAGTGGGGCCTGTCTCATGGAAAAGAAAATCAAGAGATTTAAGTGATTAACTCAGTAGTTCTCAAACATTATTTTTTTTTTTATTACGCAAAAACTCACCTGAAGGATAGTACTACTGGTTAGTGTCCCCAATGTGAATAGAAAGTGACACCGGAAAGGGTGATGGGCCAGGCGCCAGTGTCCTCTGGCCCTCCCCTTACTTAACCAAAGAATCAATAGGACTAAGGCCTTTCCAACCATTATTAATGGCAGTGATTCCAGAGACCTACTGGGGAAGGGCTGCGGAAGTTGTGAAAGATAAAGAAGGGTGAGGAAGGGCTGCTTTGCCTAGAACAAGTTCGGGGAGTTTTGAAAACTATATGACAGAAAGGGCAGCCCCTGTCACCTATCTTGTATCAAGTTCTCAGTGTCTCTGATTTAAAAAACAAAGCCACAAAATAAAAGAAACAAAATTGCGTTACTGAAACAGGAAAATGAATTGCATAGCCCTACTTCTTGATGTTAAATTATTTTTCACCATGGCATCTTTCAATCCATTTTATGTGTGAAAATCCAACAATTACTTCATCACATTATATGTTTATATTTTTTAGTCCTTACTTTCAAATAGAAAATTTTAGGTCATTTTAGCTTTGGCCCAAATATAGATAAAAGGAGAACTTTACAACCAGTTGAGAAAGTTAAATTACAATGGAGAATAATATTTTAAGACTTGTGTTCTGATCAAATCTACTGGAAACAAGCATAGCTAGTTAAAATGCTGATTTTAACTTTTATTTTATTTAAGCACAGTGGCAATTTATATATGAAAAATAATTTAGAGATGAAATTTCAGTTAATCTTTCTCCCGTAAGGCTTTTCAAAATGCTAATACTTTATCTTAGAATACCCAATCTGCCAACTTCCAAAGTTTGCTCTCTACCGTTATTCTCAGCATGACATTTAAAATATTATACAGAAGGTAATTTTATAAATTAATACATTCAGTCAAATAAAAGAGTTCACAATTTCTTTTATAACCAAAGATAAAGTGCTATATTAAAAAGCTCACATTTTAGGAACTCTTATTAATTGCTGATGGAAATGGAAAATGATACAGCCACTTTGGAAGATAGTTTTGTGGTTTCTTAGAAAATTAAACATACTCTTATAACACAATTCAGCACTCATTCTCCTTAGTATTTATCCAAATATCTTGAATACTTCTGTCCACATAAAAACCTACACATGGATGTTCTTAGCAGCTTTATTTATAAATGTCCAATCTTGGAAGCAATCAAGATGTCCTTCAGTAGGTGAATGGATCTTGCCCCTACCCCACAAAAGGAAGGAATGTTAAAGACTTTGTAAACATGTTTTCTTTTTTCTAAATATATTTTTATTGATTTTTAGAGAGGGAGGAAGGGAGAAGGAGAAAGAAACATCAGTGTGAGAGAGAGACATCCATCGGCTGCCTTCTGCACCCCCCCCCCCCCACACACACACACACATCGAGCCTGCAACCAGCAAGACTGTGAACATAGGTTTTAAAACCACCACTATCACTCAAACCTATTCTTAATTAGTCTTTAATTTTGTCTTCATCATTTCTAGGAGAGAGAGGGGGAGAGAGAGAGAGAGATCTCACTGAAACCAGAATAAACATAATGAAACCATATTTCATTGTGTCATTTCTCTTCTTAATATTATCAATGATCATAGATTCTCTGTAGTCTTTGGGAAAAATTCAATAGAAACATTAGAATAAAGTTGAGGAAATTTCCTAGAAAGTAAAGCAGTAAGACGACGAGATGGAAAGGGGTCATGGGGATGTGAATTAGAAGTTTAACATCCAAATACTAGGAATCTTAGAGAGAGAGAATTCAGAAAACGGGAGAGGGAAGTCAGATTTTACTTATACCAGCTAGTTATGCCTTAAAAATTCTAAGGGAAAATGTTTCTTCTAAACTTCTGTGACAAGCCAAACTATTATTTAAAGTATTAGGGTAGCACAAGACATTCCTTAGACATGGAAACTCTCCAAAAATTAATTTCTTGTGTATCTGTTTTCAGGAAGCACCTGCAAAAGGAAGAAGTAAACCAAGAAAGGAAAAAACACTGGATATAGAAAACAGGATTGAACACATGAGAGCTATGAGGATAATCTCCAAGATAGTAGAAGTGGTTAATAGTTGTTAATGTCTTATAAAAACTTTATGTACAGTATGTGTATATTAACTCCCATAATCCTCACATAATAATATAATGTATATGTACTCATTTTATCTTCATTTTACAACAAGAAATTGAAGCATAGATGATTACATAACTACACCATGATTGGACGAGGAGTAAGGGAAAGATCAAAAAATTTTTTCTTCTTTTTTAATAATTTATTTTTCTTACAGATGTTTCTCCTTTTCCCCCCCTAGACACCCTCCTCCCGATCACGCCCCCCTCCTCCCCAGCATTCTTGTCTATGTTCATTGGTTATGCATATATGCATATAAGTTCTTTGGTTTATGTCATTCCTCCCCTCCTCCCTCTCCTCTGAGCTTTGTCAGTCTGAATTGTACTCCTTTCTATGTCTCTGGGTCTATTTTGTTCATCAGCTTGTATTGTTCATTATATTCCACAAGTAAGTGAGATCATGTGGTATTTGTCTTTCTCTGATCGGCTTATTTCACTTAGCATAATACTCTCCAGGTCCCTCCATGTCGTCTCAAAGGATAAGAGACCTTTCTTTCTTACAGCTGCATAGTATTCCATTGTGTATTTGTACCACCACTTTTTTAGCCACTCATCTATTGATGGACATTGGGCTGTTTCCACATCTTAGCAATTATAAATAGTGTTGCTATGAACATAGGGGTACATATATTCTTTCTAATTGATGTTTTAGGCTTCTTAGGATATATTCCTAGAAGTGGGATCACTGGGTCAAATGGTAGTTCAATTTTTAATTTTTTGAGGAGCACCAGACTGTTTTCCACAGTGGAGGCACCGGTCTGCATTCCCACAGCAATGTACTGGAGTCCCCTTTTCTCCACACCCTCCCTAGCACTTGTTGTTTGATGATTTGTTGATGGTAGCCATTCTGGCAGGTGTGAGGTGATACCTCATAGTCATTTTAATTTGCATCTCTCTGATGATTAGTAACGTTGAGTACTTTTTCACATCTCTTGGCCATTTGTAAGTCCTGTTTGGAGAGGTATCTCTTTCGGTCCTCTGCCCATTTTTTAATGCTTGGGTTCTTGGTCTTCCTTTTGTTGAGTTGTATGAGTACTCTATATATTTTGGAAATTAACCCCTTATCTGATGTATCTTTGGCAGTTATGCTGTCCCATATAGTGGGGTTCCCTTTCTATTTTGATGGTTGTTTCTTTTGATGTACAGAAGATTTTAGTTTGATGTAGTCCCATGTGTTTATTTTTTCCTTTGTTTCTCTTGCCTTAGGCGTTGTACCAATGAAAATTCTGCTGCATGTGATGTCTGAAATTTTGTTGCCTACATTTTCTTCTAGGATTTTTATGGATTCATGAGTCATATCAAAGTCTTTTATTTATTTTGAGTTTATTCTCGTGTATGGTGTAAGTTGGTGGTCTAGCTTCATTTTTTTGCATGTAGCTGTCCAGTTTTCCCAACACCACTTACTGAAGAGGCTATCTTTACTCCACTGTATGCTCTTGCCACCTTTGTCAAATATTAATTGAGCATAATGTCTTGGGTCAATGTCTGGGTTCTCTGTTCTGTTCCATTGATCTATATGCCTGTTCTTGTGCCAGTACCAGGCTGTTTTGATTACTATGACTTTGTAGTAGAACCTGATATTCAATATTGTGACCCCCTCCTACTTTGTTCTTCATTTTCAATATTGCTGTGGCTATTTGTTTTTTTTTTTTTTTGGGGGGGGGGGTTCCATATAAACTTTTGGAGTGTTTATTCTAGTTTTGTGAAATATGTCATTGGTATTTTAATGGGAGTAGTATGGACATTTTAATGATGCTAATTCTTCCAATCCATGAACAAGGTATGTGCTTCCACTTTTTTATATCTTTCTCTATTTCTTTTTTCAATGTCCTATAGTTTATGACAACAAGACTTTTGCCTTCTTGGTTAAGTTTATTCCTAGGTATTTTTTTTTTGTTGCAATGGTAAATGGGAATTATTTTTTAGTTTCTCTTTCTAAGTGTTCCTTATTGCTGTATAAAAATGCCAATGATTTCTGGATGTTGATTTTGTATCCTGATACTTTGCCGAATTCATTTATTTATTTTATTTTACTTTTAATTTTTTTTAATTAATTTTTTTAGAGAGACGGAGAGATAGAAACATCAGTG